TCTCAACCTGATTACCTGGTCCTTGAGTGTTGTCTTTCTCCTGATGTGGCTGTAAAGCAGTTTCGGGTCAGATTTGACTTTCGATACTATGTCGTTTTCGTACTGCCGCTGGGCCTCCCTCCTTATCTGCGCATACTCGTTTCTGGCTCGTTGACTAATCTCTTCATTTTCCAGGGTCTTTTGCCTTCTGTACCTTTAGTATTCTCTAGTGCACTTATCTTTTTCCTCCCTACATAAGTGATGTCCTCGATGTCTGAGCTACTCAGGATGAAAACAAGGACCAGTCTTGCTGGTTCATCCTCCCTTCTCTTTCTGGTAGTGTCCCTAACGTGTTGGTGCATGAAGTTTTCCAGTACCACATCCATCATCTTGGCTCTCCATGTTTAAAGACCCCCATGTGGCTCCAGGTTTTCCCAATCAATCACCCTGTGGTTGAAGTCGCCCATAACCAGTAACTTTGCTCTACTCGAGTAAGCTCTTCTTGCCACCTCAGGTAGTGTGTTCACAATTGATCTGTTGCACTCATCATATTCCTCTCTTTTCCTCCTGCAGTTCTGTGGTGGGTTGTACATCACTGCAAGGATTACCTTATGTACCCCAGACTGAACTGTACCTACTATGTAATCCCTTTCTCCAATCTCGTCCATTCCTTCCATTTCCTGATATCTCCATCGGCTTTTAATGACCAGTGCAACACCTCCTCCCCCCTCAGCTCCTTCTATCCATCCTCAGGACCTAATATTCAGGTGGGAAGATTGCATCTGTTATTGTCCCAGTGAGTTTTGTTTCTGTGACTGCTATGATGTCTAGGGACTGCTCGTTGATTCTTACATGCCGCTCCTCAAATTTATTCGTTATTCCATCTGCGTTCATGTACCAAACCTCCAACTTCGTTTCTATATCTGTGATCCGAAGAGAATGGTGGGTATGGGTAAGCAGGTGCCCTGGTGGGGGCCTATAGGGGGTTGCTGAGGGGATGGAATCTGTGGTGTAGGAGTTGGGAGCAGAGGCCCCATGGGAGGTTTCAGTGGGGTGGGGGTTTTGGTGAGGGGATGGGGGGAGAGGGTACAGTGTGGGGGTTTCTGTGGGTTACTGTGTGGGTGGGGTCTGTGGTGAGGGGGATGGGGGCAGAGTGTACATTGTGTGGGTTAATGTAGGTTACTGCAGGGGTGGGGTTTGTGTTGGGGGGATGGGGCAGAGGGCACAATGAGTGGGTTTTGGATAAGGTTGTTTGATTGCTTTGGGGTTACCATGGTTGGGTTCCTTCTGTGGGTGGTACTGGAGGGGGTTGTGTTTGTTCTTCCGCCTGGGTCTGTTTTCCCCTACTCCCCCTCCTCCTTGCCTCCCACTCCTCCCTGCGACTTAGCACCCTCTCTTTCAGTATCACCCTTTCTTCTTGTGTTCAGTCTCGGTCGAGGTACACGCTCTGGTACACTGGTTTGTCCCTTAGACGCGTTTTCTCAGGCAGGATCCGGTTTCGAGCTGACTCTGCCTTGAAAATCACTTTGACTGTGTTACTGATAGTGTATGTTACTGATAATATGTGTGTTACTGATGGTGTGTGTACTACTGATAGTGTGTGTTACTGATAGTGTGTGTTACCGATAGTATGTGTTACTGATGGTGTGTGTTACTGATAGTGTGTGTTACTGATAATATGTGTGTTACTGATGGTATGTACATTACTGATAGTGTTACTGATAGTGTGTGTTAATGATTGTGTGAGTTACTGATAGTGTGTGTTACCGATAGAGTGTGTTACCGATAGTGTGTGTTACTGATGGTGTGTGTTACTGATAGTGTGTGTTACTGATAGTGTGTGTTACTGATAGTGTGTGTTACTGATGTGTTACTTGCGGTGTGTGTTACTGATGGTGTATGTTACTGATGTATGCACAAGGCTTATTCCTCTCAGAAAAAGGAGGAGTAGATGTAAAATAGAAAGAGACAGGAGCTCCCTTTACAGGCGACGGAAAAGAATAACAGAGCGGCTAAAAGAGGTCAATATATCTGAAATGCGTAGGGAGACACTGGTCAGAGAAATAGCAAGCATCGAACTTAAGCTAAAAGAATCCTTTAGGAGTCAGGAATCGCGGGAAGAACTAAAAGCCATAAATGAAATCGAAAGAAACCCAAAGTATTTCTTCTCCTATGCCAAATCAAAATCGAGAACAACGTCCAGTATTGGGCCCCTACTTAAACAAGATGGGTCCTACACAGATGACAGCAAGGAAATGAGTGAGCTACTCAAGTCCCAATATGACTCAGTTTTTAGCAAGCCGCTAAACCAGACTGAGAGTCGAAGATCAAAATGAATTTTTTATGAGAGAGCCACAAAATTTGATTAACACAAGCCTATCCGATGTTATCCTGACGCCAAATGACTTTGAACAGGCGATAAATGACATGCCCATGCACTCTGCCCCAGGGCCAGACTCATGGAACTCTGTCTTCATCAAGAACTGCAAGAAGCCCCTATCACGAGCCTTTTCCATCCTATGGAGAGGGAGCATGGACACGGGGGTCGTCCCACAGTTACTTAAAACAACAGACAGCCCCACTCCACAAAGGGGGCAGTAAAGCAACAGCAAAGAACTACAGACCAATAGCACTAACATCCCATATCATAAAAATCTTTGAAAGGGTCCTAAGAAGCAAGATCACCACCCATCTAGAAACCCATCAGTTACACAACCCAGGGCAACATGGGTTTAGAACAGGTCGCTCCTGTCTGTCTCAACTATTGGATCACTACGACAAGGTCCTAAATGCACTAGAAGACAAAAAGAATGCAGATGTAATATATACAGACTTTGCAAAAGCCTTCGACAAGTGTGACCATGGCGTAATAGCGCACAAAATGCGTGCTAAAGGAATAACAGGAAAATTCGGTCGATGGAACTATAATTTCCTCACTAACAGAACACAGAGAGTAGTCGTCAACAGAGTAAAGTCCGAGGCAGCTACGGTGAAAAGCTCTGTTCCACAAGGCACAGTACTAGCTCCCATCTTGTTCCTCATCCTCATATCCGACATAGACAAGGATGTCAGCCACAGCACCGTGTCTTCCTTTGCAGATGACACCCGAATCTGCATGACAGTGTCCTCCGTTGCAGACACTGCAAGGCTCCAGGAAGACATAAACCAAATCTTTCAGTGGGCTGCAGAAAACAATATGAAGTTCAACGATGAGAAATTTCAATTACTCAGATATGGTAAACATGAGGAAATTAAATCTTCATCAGAGTACAAAACAAATTCTGGCCACAAAATAGAGCGAAACACCAACGTCAAAGACCTGGGAGTGATCATGTCGGAGGATCTCACCTTCAAGGACCATAACATTGTATCAATCGCATCTGCTAGAAAAATGACAGGATGGATAATGAGAACCTTCAAAACTAGGGAGGCCAAGCCCATAATGTCACTCTTCAGGTCACTTGTTCTATCTAGGCTGGAATATTGCTGCACACTAACAGCACCTTTCAAGGCAAGGTGAAATTGCCGACCTAGAAAATGTACAGAGAACCTTCACGGCGCGCATAACGGAGATAAAACACCTCAATTACTGGGAGCGCTTGAGGTTCCTAAACCTGTATTCCCTGGAACGCAGGAGGGAGAGATACATGATTATATACACCTGGAAAATCCTAGAGGACTAGTACCGAACTTGCACACGAAAATCACTCACTACGAAAGCAAAAGACTTGGCAGACGATGCACCATCCCCCCAATGAAAAGCAGGGGTGTCACTAGCACGTTAAGAGACCATACAATAAGTGTCAGGGGCCCGAGACTGTTCAACTGCCTCCCAGCACACATAAGGGGGATTAGCAACAGACCCCTGGCAGTCTTCAAGCTGGCACTGGACAAGCACCTAAAGTCAGTTCCTGATCAGCCGGGCTGTGGCTCGTACGTTGGTTTGCGTGCAGCCAGCAGCAACAGCCTGGTTGATCAGGCTCTGATCCACCAGGAGGCCTGGTCACAGACCGGGCCGCGGGGGCGTTGACCCCGGAACTCTCTCCAGGTAAACTCCAGGTAGTGTGTGTGTTACTGATAGTGTGTGTTACTGATAGTGTGTGTTACTGATTGTGTGTGTATTACTGATAGTGTGTGTTACTAAGAGTGTCTGTTACTGATAGTGTGTGTTACTGATGGTGTGTGTTACTGTTAGTGTGTGTTACTGATTGTGTGTTACTGATGATGTGTGTTACTGATAGTGTGTGTATTACTGATACTGCATGATACTGGTATTGTGTGTTACTAATAGTGTGTTACTGATAGTGTGTGTTACTGGTAGTGAGTGTTACTAATAATATATGTGTGTTACTGATGGTGTATTACTGATAGTGTGTGTTACTGATAGTGTGTGTTACTGATAGTGTGTGTTACTGATAGTGTATGTTGCTGATAGTGTGTGTTACTGATGCGTGTGTTACTGACAGTGTGTGTTACTGACAGTGTGTGTTACTGATGGTGTGTGTTACTGATGATGTGTTTTAATGATGGTTTGTGTTGCTGAACATATCTGTTACTGATGTGTTACTAATTGCATGAGCATGTTACTGATGGTCTGTATTACTGAATTGTGTTACAGATGATATTCGTTACTTCTGGTGTGTTTAATAAGTACTTTGTATCGCTGTTCATTATACAGAGTGTTTGTGTTACCGAAGTGCTAAAAAAATTATACTGATGATTTAATTTTCAGTTTGTGTTGCATTATTTTACATATTTTGTTAAAATTACATGTTGCTAAACATTCTAATTTGTCTGTTCTTTCAGAAATTATCCTGTTACAAATTGCATTTTATGCTATAAATATTAAGAAGTTCACCTTAATTTCTAAAACTGTGTTACAAGTTGTGTTACATTTCTTTTGTTACATATTGTGTTACATGTTGTGTTGCAATGTTTTTGATTTGCCTTGATTTTAACCTGTAAAATTCTCCATTACGGGTTTTCTTAATTAAGAATAATTGAGAACAATAACAACTAACCTTTGTAATTCTTTCTTTGTCCTGACTGGTTTCTCCTTCTTTAAAGTCTTCAGTGTATTTGTTTCTCAGTGAGTTTAGCTCATGTATAATAGTGTCGACATCTCGTTGGCACATGGGAATGCCCTCATCAGTGTCGTCAGTCGTCTGGCACCTGCGACAAACAATAGCAGTGTTGACTTCATTATGTTTTAGAGGATTGTTTAAGAGTACTTGACCGGGAAGGCAGTAACTGAAAAATGATTCGCAGGTTAGTAACTTATGTGTAGAAAATACAAAGAAATTTGAAAAAGAGTAAGAGTGTAAGGCAATGTATATCTTAAGTCATCTAAAGGAGGAGATTCGACTTTAATCTGTACTCCACTGGGTAAGTTGTAGTGGTGTAGAGGTTTCATAACATCAGTGGTATGTAATACTTATAAGTGGAGAATCTGACACTTGAACAACACCTGGGTATCTTTATTAATGGAGACGTTTCGCCCACCAGAGACAAAGCCAAAAGACTGAAAAGGCTGAAGAAGAGGTAATCAGTCTCTCAGCCTAGCAGTAGGTGTTCAGTACTGGAGTCTTCATGAATCTGATGCACAGCAGTAGGAAGGGAGCTTATGTACTGGAGTCAGATGAGTCGCTACGGTGTACCGTAGCACGACTGCTAACGTAGTCAGTTCAAGCACTGAAGTCCGAGGATCGGTCTCCGGTACGGCTGGAGAACATTAGGACGTGTTTCCATGAGACACCTGTTGTTCCTGTTCACCCATCAGTAAAATGGGTACCTGGGTGTTAGTCGACTTGTATGGGTCGCATCATGGGACAGAACTGACCTAATTTCCCCGAAATGCTCAGCATAACAAAGGGCTTTCTAAGAATAGTGTGCCATTGATGACAGCTAGACTTATATACCTTGTACATGTACTTTTAGAAATAAAAAATATGCCATTGATGTCAGCTAGACTTACATACCTTGTACATGTACTTGTAGAAATAAAAAAAATATGCCATTGATGTCAGCTAGGCATGTATACCTTGTACATGTACTTGCAGAAATAAAAAATATGCCATTGATGTCAGCTAGGCATGTATACCTTGTACATGTACTTGCAGAAATAAAAAATATGCCATTGATGTCAGCTAGGCATGTATACCTTGTACATGTACTTGTAGAAATAAAAATTATTATTATGATTACTGCACCTCTACTCGTGTACCATATATAGTTAAAGCATCTATGTCTAATAACAAAGAATATTACAGAAGATTACACACCTTGTTTCCTGTGCTGGCGTCGTTGTCACATCTGTAACACACAAAAACAATGAATTTCTTTATTACATCTATATAAACAAGAACATTTTTTTATCAAAAAAAAAAAAAATAATAAAAATGATGTACATAATACATCAATTCTACAGTGAAGACATTTTTTCAATGATTTCAGTCACACTCGTTTATTCAGTGGTCAGCCACAAACTCCTCTCCTCACGCTGATTCTTTGCCAGTGTCAGGTGTGTGGTGTGGCCCGTGTTAGTACTCAGGTATGTGGTGGTCCGTGTTAGTACTCAGGTGTGTGGGGTGGTCCGTGTTAGTACTCAGGTGTGTGGGGTGGCCCGTGTTAGTACTCAGGTGTGTGGGGTGATCCGTGTTAGTACTCAGGTGTGTGGGGTGGCCCGTGTTAGTACTCAGGTGTGTGTAGTGGTCCGTGTTAGTACTCAGGTGTGTTGGGTGGCCCGTGTTAGTACTCAGGTGGGTGGGGTGGTCCGTGTTAGTACTCAGGTGTGTGGGGTGGTCCGTGTTAGTACTAGGTGTGTGGGGTGGTCCGTTTTTAGTATTCAAGTGGGTGGGGTGGTCCGTGTTAGTACTCAGGTGTGTGGGGTGGTCCGTGTTAGTACTCAGGTGTGTGGGGTGGCCCGTGTTAGTACTCAGGTGTGTGGGGTGGTCCGTGTTAGTACTCACGTGTGTGTGGTGGCCCGTGTTAGTACTCAGGTGTGTGTGGTGGTCCGTGTTAGTACTCAGGTGTGTGGTGGTCCGTGTTAGTACTCAGGTGTGTGGTGGTCCGTGTTAGTACTCAGGTGTGTGGGGTGGCCCGTGTTAGTACTCAGGTGTGTGGGGTGGTCCGTGTTAGTACTCATGTGTGTGGGGTGGTCCGTGTTAGTACTCAGGTGTGTGGGGTGGTCCGTGTTAGTACTCAGGTGTGTGGGGTGGCCCGTGTTAGTACTCAGGTGTGTGGGGTGGCCCGTGTTAGTACTCAGGTGTGTGGGGTGGCCCGTGTTAGTACTCAGGTGTGTGGGGTGGCCCGTGTTAGTACTCAGGTGTGTGGGGTGGCCCGTGTTAGTACTCAGGTGTGGGGTGGCCCGTGTTAGTACTCAGGTGTGTGGTGGTCCGTGTTAGTACTCAGGTGTGTGGGGTGGCCCGTGTTAGTACTCAGGTGTGTGGTGGTCCGTGTTAGTACTCAGGTGTGTGGGGTGGCCCGTGTTAGTACTCAGGTGTGTGGGGTGGTCCGTGTTAGTACTCAGGTGTGTGGGGTGGTCCGTGTTAGTACTCAGGTGTGTGGGGTGGCCGTGTTAGTACTCAGGTGTGTGGGGTGGCCCGTGTTAGTACTCAGGTGTGTGGGGTGGCCCGTGTTAGTACTCAGGTGTGTGGGGTGGCCCGTGTTAGTACTCAGGTGTGTGGGGTGGCCCGTGTTAGTACTCAGGTTTGTGGGGTGGTCCGTGTTAGTAATCAGGTGTGTGGGGTGGCCCGTGTTAGTACTCAGGTGTGTGGGGTGGCCCGTGTTAGTACTCAGGTGTGTGGGGTGGCCCGTGTTAGTATTCAGGTGTGTGGGGTGGCCCGTGTTAGTAAACAGGTGTGTGGGGTGGTCCGTGTTAGTACTCAGGTGTGTGGGGTTTGGGCCGTGTTAGTACTCAGGTGTGTGGGGTGGTCCGTGTTAGTACTCAGGTGTGTGAGGTGGCCCGTGTTAGTACTCAGGTGTGTGGGGTGGCCCGTGTTAGTACTCAGGTGTGTGGGGTGGCCCGTGTTAGTACTCAGGTGTGTGTGGTGGCCCGTGTTAGTACTCAGGTGTGTGGGGTGGCCCGTGTTAGTACTCAGGTGTGTGGGGTGGCCCGTGTTAGTACTCAGGTGTGGGGTGGCCCGTGTTAGTACTCAGGTGTGTGGTGGTCCGTGTTAGTACTCAGGTGTGTAGGGTGGCCCGTGTTAGTACTCAGGTGTGTGGTGGTCCGTGTTAGTACTCAGGTGTGTGGGGTGGCCCGTGTTAGTACTCAGGTGTGTGGGGTGGTCCGTGTTAGTACTCAGGTGTGTGGGGTGGTCAGTGTTAGTGCTCAGGCGTGTGGGGTGGTCCGTGTTAGTACTCAGGTGTGTGGGGTGGCCCGTGTTAGTACTCAGGTGTGTGGGGTGGTCCGTGTTAGTACTCAGGTGTGTGGGGTGGTCCGTGTTAGTACTCAGGTGTGTGGGGTGGCCCGTGTTAGTACTCAGGTGTGTGGGGTGGCCCGTGTTAGTACTCAGGTGTTGGGGTGGCCCGTGTTAGTACTCAGGTGTGTGGGTGGCCCGTGTTAGTACTCAGGTGTGTGGGGTGGCCCGTTTTTAGTACTCAGGTTTGTGGGGTGGTCCGTGTTAGTAATCAGGTGTGTGGGGTGCCCCGTGTTAGTACTCAGGTGTGTGGGGTGGCCCGTGTTAGTACTCAGGTGTGTGGGGTGGCCCGTGTTAGTACTCAGGTGTGTGGGGTGGCCCGTGTTAGTACCCAGGTGTGTGGGGTGGTCCGTGTTAGTACTCAGGTGTGTGGGGTGGTCCGTGTTAGTACTCAGGTGTGTGGGGTGGTCCGTGTTAGTACTCAGGTGTGTGAGGTGGCCCGTGTTAGTACTCAGGTGTGTGGGGTGGCCCGTGTTAGTACTCAGGTGTGTGGGGTGGCCCGTGTTAGTACTCAGGTGTGTGTGGTGGCCCGTGTTAGTACTCAGGTGTGTGGGGTGGCCCGTGTTAGAACTCAGGTGTGTGGGGTGGTCCGTGTTAGTACTCAGGTGTGTGGGGTGGCCCGTGTTAGTACTCAGGTGTGTGGGGTGGCCCGTGTTAGTACTCAGGTGTGTGAGGTGGTCCGTGTTAGTACTCAGGTGTGTGAGGTGGCCCGTGTTAGTACTCAGGTGTGTGGGGTGGCCCGTGTTAGTACTCAGGTGTGTGGGGTGGCCCGTGTTAGCACTCAGGTGTGTGGGGTGGCCCGTGTTAGTACTCAGGTGTGTGGGGTGGCCCGTGTTAGTACTCAGGTGTGTGAGGTGGTCCGTGTTAGTACTCAGGTGTGTGAGGTGGCCCGTGTTAGTACTCAGGTGCGTGGGGTGGTCCGTGTTAGTACTTAGGTGTGTGGGGTGGCCCGTGTTAGTACTCAGGTGTATGGGGTGGTCCGTGTTAGTACTCAGGTGTGTGGGGTGGTCCGTGTTAGTATTCAGGTGTGTGGGGTGGCCCGTGTTAGTACTCAGATGTGTGGGGTGGTCCGTGTTAGTACTCAGGTGTGTGGGGTGGCCCGTGTTAGTACTCAGATGTGTGGGGTGGTCCGTGTTAGTACTCAGGTGTGTGGGGTGGCCCGTGTTAGTACTCAGGTGTGTGGGGTGGTCCGTGTTAGTACTCAGGTGTGTGGGGTGGTTCGTGTTAGTACTCAGGTGTGTGGGGTGGCCCGTGTTAGTACTCTGGTGTGTGGAGTGGTCCGTGTTAGTACTCAGGTGTGTGGGGTGGCCCGTGTTAGTACTCAGGTGTGTGGGGTGATCCGTGTTAGTACTCAGGTGTGTGAGGTGATCCTTCTTAGTACTCAGGTGTGTGAGGTGATCCGTGTTAGTACTCAGGTGTGTGAGGTGATCCGTGTTAGTACTCAGGTGTGTGAGGTGATGCGTGTTAGTACTCAGGTGTGTGAGGTGATTCTTGTTAGTACTCAGGTGTGTGGGTGGTCCGGGTTAGTACTCAGGTGTGTGAGGTGATCCGTGTTAGTACTCAGGTGTGTGGGGTGATCCGTGTTAGTACTCATGTGTGTGAGGAGATCCGTGTTAGTACTCAGGTGTGTGAGGTGGTCCGTGTTAGTACTCAGGTGTGTGAGGTGATCCATGTTAGTACTCAGGTGTGTGGGGTGATCCGTGTTAGTACTCAGGTGTACTCACCTAGTTGAGGTTGCGGGGGTCGAGTCCGAGCTCCTGGCCCCGCCTCTTCACTGATCGCTACTAGGTCACTCTCCCCGAGCCGTGAGCTTTATCATACCTCTGCTTAAAGCTATGTATGGATCCTGCCTCCACTACATCGCTTCCCAAACTATTCCACTTACTGACTACTCTGTGGCTGAAGAAATACTTCCTAACATCCCTGTGATTCATCTGTGTCTTTAGCTTCCAACTGTGTCCCCTTGTTGCTGTGTCCAAACTCTGGAACATCCTGTCTTTGTCCACCTTGTCAATTCCCCTCAGTATTTTGTATGTCGTTATCATGTCCCCCCTATCTCTCCTGTCCTCCAGTGTCGTCAGGTTGATTTCCCTTAACCTCTCCTCGTAGGACATACCTCTTAGCTCTGGGACTAGTCTTGTTGCAAACCATTGCACTTTCTCTAGTTTCTTTACGTGCTTGGCTAGGTGTGGGTTCCAAACTGGTTGCCGCATACTCCAATATGGGCCTAACGTATACGGTGTACAGGGTCCTGAACGATTCCTTATTAAGATGTCGGAATGCTGTTCTGAGGTTTGCTAGGCGCCCATATGCTGCAGCAGTTATTTGGTTGATGTGCGCTTCAGGAGATGTGCCTGGTGTTATACTCACCCCAAGATCTTTTTCCTTGAGTGAGGTTTGTAGTCTCTGACCCCCTAGACTGTACTCCGTCTGCGGCCTTCTTTGCCCTTCCCCAATCTTCATGACTTTGCACTTGGTGGGATTGAACTCCAGGAGCCAATTGCTGGACCAGGTCTGCAGCCTGTCCAGATCCCTTTGTAGTTCTGCCTGGTCTTCGATCGAGTGTATTCTTCTCATCAACTTCACGTCATCTGCAAACAGGGACACCTCAGAGTCTATTCCTTCCGTCATGTCGTTCACAAATACCAGAAACAGCACTGGTCCTAGGACTGACCCCTGCGGACCCGCTGGTCACAGGTGCCCACTCTGACACCTCGCCACGTACCATGACTCGCTGCTGTCTTCCTGACAAGTATTCCCTGATCCATTGTAGTGCCTTCCCTGTTATCCCTGCTTGGTCCTCCATTTTTGCACCAATCTCTTGTGGGGAACTGTGTCAAACGCCTTCTTGCAGTCCAAGAAAATGCAATCCACCCACCCCTCTCTCTCTTGTCT